CACTGGCTCTGTGTGTGTGTTCTGAGTGTTTGTTTCCCTATAAAAAAGCTGCGGGGGAAGCAGGTACTCTGCGAGTCACGGACATTAATTCATAGATCAAAGCAGACTGGTTTACAAACTCTCCTGTTTTGCCAATCCGGTGCTTAAACCAATAGCTCTACACCCCTGGCCGAAATGTCCATAAAATTAAGTCTGACTTCAAAATATAGTCTATCTCAAATAATGTATGCTCTGTGATTTCCCCACGTAAAAATAACACACTTTCCACACTTTCTCAAAAAAAATAAAGTCAGGAAAACGGATTTGTTTCTCGTGCGCACGAGAAACGAATCCGTTTTCCTGACTTTATTTTTTTTCTCTCTCCATTTTTTTTTTTTTTTCCATGTCCCTTTAGGGGCTCCGTAGAAACCTGTATTTTTGCATGGCTTTTGAACGTTTTTTCTGATTTATGGAGGGATACAAAGACGAGATATCTCATACACAAATTGCCCCTAACTTAAAATAAAAACAACATAAATTATGAGTGGTGCGAGTGTGTGTGTGTGCGTGCGTGCGTGCGTGCGTGCGTGTGTGTGTGTGTGTGTGTGTGAGACTGACTGGTTCCAGTGCTCCTTGGAGACTCTGTACAGCGTGGCGAACACCAGCGGCAGGATGACTTGACAGTTCTCCTCGATCAGACTGAGGATGTACTCGTTGTTCCAGAAGTAAAGAGCCCGCTCCGCTACCTGAAACACACACACACACACACACACACACACACTTCCATTTAGCAAAGAGGTAACAGTATTATTTCCATCAGACAAGTGTTAGNCTCACACACACACACACACACACACACACACACACACACACACACACACACACACACTTCCATTTAGCAAAGAGGTAACAGTATTATTTCCATCAGACAAGTGTTAGTGCCCACAGTTTGTAAAGTTGTACGATCTTGAGTGGATTGTTTTTTTCTAAAAGTGATATAATACAATCTATTTGCAATTAGGTTGATATCTTGAGGGTTAGTACTCCCAAAACTGTTTCATTCTTGAACTGTATTCCAAATGTTTATCGTAAACTGTGTAGCCAATATACAAGACCAAACACACAGAAATTGCCAGATTAAAACCATATTGTTTTAATCCTACAGTCCTTACAGAATGGAATCACAAGTTCTATTATATCAGGCTTTAGATCTAGAGCTCTAGCTTCAAAGTGACCCTTTCTAATGTTGTCTATGGGCGTGTGTGTGTGTGTGTGTGTGTGTGTGTGTGTGTGTGTGTGTGTGTGTGTGTGTGTGTGTGTGTGTGTGTGTGTGTACCTGGAAGTGAGGGCTGGAGATGCAGGCAGCGATCTGCCTGAAGAGCGGCTCCTGGACCCGGATGAACTGAGAGGGCTCGATTACATCCAGGATCTCCTCAATCTCCCCCAGGAACATCACCTGAATACACACACATTTGTATCATCAATACATAAAAGACAGAGAGTCTGCAACTTTTTATGATTTCCCTTCTCACCTCTTTCTGCGTGCACGTTTTTGGCCAGTACTTGAGCAGCCCTCTGATGATCTGGAGAGAAAATATGAAGCACATTAATATGAATAAACACGGCAGCCTTTATCTCAGCAGGGGGTCTGGCTGGCATCCATCTGTGCCGTTAACTCAGATTCAGACTCTGGCTGGGCCATTAACAAACATGTTATAAACGTTGTTCTTTTTACTGTTTTGGTTGTCGCCAAATTAAGATTTTTTGTTTATAGCAAAGACATTGGTGAACTAGTAACAGGACTAACACTGATTATGATGTTTGATGGTCATGTGACTTCAGTTTATTACTACTTGATTCTTACTTCATAGTTTTGTCAATCACTTATATCATTTATTTAACTGTTTTTGGGTAAAAAATGCGAACGTTTTTTAATTTTTAAACTACTTTGACCAACTTGGGGAAGGCAAATCAAGTTTATTTATATGTCATATCTCAACACAATTCAAAGTGCTTTACAAAACAATTAAAAGCATTAAGATATAGTGCAACACAAACAACATTTCAATTGATCATTAAAAAGCATAAGACTGGAAAAATAAATACAAGAATAGAAGTTACGGTGCAGGGTAAGACATGAATATCTGATTTATTCTAAAGCAGTGGCAGTGAGAGTTCATTAAAGGCAGTGTTTATAGATCTTCTGGCACAACAATGATATATTATCACCGAATAATGTTGACGTGGCAAACAGGAACCAACTTACTTCACACATCGTGCAGACACTAGCAGTCATTAGGAGTCATTTTTCTGGCTACCTGGAGAACCCAAGTCCAGTATTCATTCTCCTTATAGCTCTGTTTTGGTCTCCTCCAATTCCTTAAGGAAATATCTGGTTCATGGCATGTACAACCATTGACTATGTTTTTGGGAAATTCCCCATTAGAGAGCTAGCTGATTGAAGGCTTATTAACTTTTACCAGGAATCAGACGTTGCTTATTTTTTCTACTTTTTGTCCAGCACCATAGAGCACCTTTATTACACTTGTTTGAACGTGAAAGGACCCGGGGCCTTTCCTTTTGGTAAAGATCTCAGCAATTACTTTGGTTGATAGAAATGATGGCCTAAACTTGAAAACCAATATGCCTTAAATTTAACGAGAAAGTGTAAAACACAGTCTTACGTATTCAGTCACTGTAGCATCTTTCTCCATAAACTGCACCACACAGTAGGCCAGCTGTAAGGAAAGAGGAGATGTGGTTAGAACACACACACATATATACACACACACACACACACACACACATATATACACACACACACACACACACACACACACACACACACACACACACACATATACACACACACACACTAAAACACCCAAAACACAGTCACATTCCCTGAAGCTGTCAAGGAGACAATGGGGATCTTAGCACTTATCCCTCAGGATTACACCCGGCTAAAGATCGGAAAGGCAAGTTTTCCAATGGGAGATGTGTCACGAGTGTGTNTCGTCGGTCGTG